TTGGAATGGTATGTGCACGTTTAATCATGCTCACGAAGTGTGCAAAGATTTTCCCTTTTCACGTGCTTGCATATCACAATGTGCTGTACAACTCAAGACAACTCGATGGTCGTTGTGTGTTGTTGTATGCAAGTATATAGGTGTGTGAGTTTGTTGGCCGTGCGATAAGCATCACACCTTGAAAGCGCATTTTGTAGCGTTTGATGCAGCAGTATTTTGGGCATTGTAGACCATGTTGGTCCAAGTCTATTCTAGCAAGTTCTTTCTTGTCTGCTAAATGTGTATCAAAACACAGCTGTTTCTCAATTCTCAAATCATGTTTTGCTGTCCGCGTTTGTGCCCACCAGAAGCTAGCATGTGTGTGTGTGTGTTAAACAAATGGAAGCATTACCTTTGAGCACTGAGCATCGATTGATCCATAGGCTCCATAGGCAGAACATTGTAGATTGATTGGCAGCCAAGGCCAGGTGGACTCATCACAGCCATGCCAGAGATTCGAGTTTTTGACCTTGAACCAGCACAAGTGTAGTGCTCAAGATGTCCATTGTTTGTTTAGTTGTTTGCCCTGTTGAACTTTGAATGCTGACTTAGTGCCTTAGTGCTGCATATCTCAGCAGGTTATCATTTGCAAGCTTCTTTGAGAACATGATTGCTGTGCCTCTTCAGCAGGTCCAGAACACATGAGATGAGATTGGCCCCAGTTCACAGTCCTTGATTCACTTCGCATCACTTCGCCATGGTGGGGACAAAGGATTCCTTTGAGGTGGCGGCAGCACCCCATGCTGCAATAGAAGAAGTGGAAAATGCTACAAATACCCATCACTTGGAGAGCACACTCGCAGGATTGAAAAGCCTTCGCTACAACAGCTTTGGCCCAGGGAAACCCTGGCTTGATGTCGACGGGACGCTCATTTGGTCACCCTTGAGGATCAAAGTCGCAAAGATGGTGTTCTCGCAAGGATTTGAGACCATGATGGGAGCAGTTATAGTGAGCAATTTGATTCTAATATGGTTTGAGGCAGACCGCGATGCGCAGTGCTATCCAACATTTGCAAATAACCTCCAAGATTGTCCGCACCGCAGCGATGCCAGCTCATGGATCAACATCCTGAATTTGATTTTGTTGCTGACATACACTTTTGAGTGTGGGATACGCTTCTTCGTGGAGCGCACCCACTATTGGTACAATGCCTGGAATATGATCGACTTGGTGACTATGATATTGGGATGGTTGAGCTTGATCTTGGCATCAGTGGTAAATCTGAGCTTGCTGAGACTCACACGGCTTGTGCGTGTGGTTCGCGCTGTTCGGGTCTTCATCTCCGTGCCAGAATTCTACTTATTGATCACTGGGCTTTACAGTTCGATCAAAGCGATCTTGTTTGGCTCGATGATGCTTGTCATAGTGATCTTGTTTTGGGCAGTCATTGCTGTGGAACTGCTGCACCCAGTGGTATCAGCCCTGGATACTTTTCCTGAAACATGTACCCGTTGTCAGCGCAGCTTTCAAGATGTGGCTTCAGCTGGCGTGACATTTTTCCAGCAAATTGTTGCAGGTCACTCTCTGGAATTATGTCCTATTTTGTTGAAGTATGTTCAATCATCTTCAGAAAAAATCCATACAGCATGTTCGAACAGCCTTTGACTCCCTACCCCGCAGTCAAAAGTACTTGAAACTTTCGGATTTCTCTTGGCTCTCGCAGGTATTTTTGTGGTTCGTTCGGCGACTTCGCAAAATCAGTGCTAGCACCTGACCTGCCACAGTCCCCGTAATCCCCGTGCTGTGAGTGACCGAGCTTTGGCCAGAACCCATCACGAGCACAACATGGAAGCAAACCTAGCAGACTTACATCCGGTTTAGCTGACCACAGACGCGTTGCAGGTCAAAGACTTGCAGGAGAGCAACGACAGGTTCAAATAATTATCAGACTGCCAATGCAAGATCTGGGGCAAACTCAAAGACACATCACCTCTTGCAGACACCCATATACTGCACTGCACAACCGTAGATTATGATGACTCTTCCAAAGGGTTTGGCTGCATCGACAGATAACACAGCTCCTTTTCCTGCCACAACTGCTGCACTTTCCACTACGATTGCTGATGTTGCTGCTGACGACCAAAAAAGTGCCAATGAAGCTCCTGCAGTTTGAAACAGAGAAGCCCTTTGCTTTTCTATTCAAAGATTAAAGGAACCCTTGACAGAGTCGCTCGCATCCCCTAGTCACCGCTTGGTTCCACTGGCTATTGTTTCCTACTGGCCGCTACTCTTTCGACAGATGCCAGTGTTTGTGCAGTTTCCTAGCAACGACCCAGTGAGCAACAAATGTAGCCATGTGACAAAATTGACGAGGCCGTAGCTTCTAGGTTGGAGGCCATCGCTTCTAGGTTGGTGGCTTGCTATTCGAAACAAAGAAAAACAAAATATGCCAAGTGTCCTCCCGTTTGCTGCAGGTGACTCATGGGGCGAGATCTCCGTACCGTTGATCGAAGCAAACCCATTGAGTGGTGTCCTTCTTTTTGCCGTGATGATTTTCGTCGGACTGGGCATGATGAACTTGATTTTGGCAGTTATTGTGGAGTGCCTTTCAAAAAAACAAATAGAATTTTGATACTTGTGGACCAAGTGTTGTTGTAACAATTGGCGGGGTTGAGATGTGTTCTGTTTCCGCGAAACTTCTTTGTTCAATCCCAAACTCTCCAAACATGAGGCGTGCTACAGAGGCCCGGGAAAACGATCATGAACAGAAGATCAAGAAGAAAGAGGAAGAAAGATCCAAGAGCATGGTTGACCTTGCGAAGTTGTGTGCAAGCATGGACCAAAACAACAACGGTCTTGTGTCATTGCAAGAAATGCAAAATGGCTATGACCAGCTGGAGTCTTTTCGGAAGCTCATGCAACAGATGGACATCAAGCGGGACGAAATGCAAACGGTGTTCAGTGTTTTGGACAGTGATAGCTCAGGGGAAGTGTCGTATTTGGAATTTTGCCAAAATATCGGCGGCTTTCTGAAGCGGGATCCAATTATCATGCATTCTCTTGTGCATTATTCCGTGCTGGAATTGCGTAAGCTGATCAGGGACGAAGTGATGCAAACCTTGCATGACCAGCACACACAAGTGATGCAAGCTCAGAACAGGCTTCTTGCAGCTGTTGGGTTAGAAGAAGTGAGGTCAGACAGCAAGTCATATACCAGTTTCGTTGGACGTGAAAAACAGGAAGCATTTGCTCGACACCGCAAATCATCACAAGCTGGTTCAGGCGGTCCACCGACACATAACACCCTTGGTTTCGGGAAAAGTGATCTCTTCGAGACCCTGGAGAAGATGGAGCAAGAACTGCAGCCGTTGTTGGACCGGGCTCAACAGATCGTAATATCCTTGGTCGACAAGGCGAGTGAAACCAGCCAAAGATCTGCCACCACAAATGCATCAAATGCATTGTCCAATTCAGAACAATTGCAGTTTGAAATAGTCGAGGAGAGTGCAGACTTGGACAGCAAATTTCAAAGGCTGTGCGAGAGATTTCAAGAGCAACGGAAAGCAGCAGCATTGTTGCAAGACCACCTTGTGGATGTTCTCGAAGACTTAGAGCACTTCAGAGAGGATTCTCAGGGCCAGGGCCAGGGACCGAGTGGACCAAGTACAACGTTTCACAAGCGATTGTTCCATGTGTAAATCAAGTGTACCTAGTTGCAAGTGAGTAAACAGGCTGCATGTGTATATTATATGTATATATATATATATTTGCATGTCACACGAGGTTTCCCTAATCATCCTAATTTGCTAAGAAGACTGCACAACAACTCAAGCAGCCTGTTGCCGTTGAACGAGCAACATTCTGCAAAGCAGATGACATGCTCAAATGACTCAAGTACACACATGAAATTGCCATGCGTAAAACCAAGAAGGTGCCAAGACTGCCGTTGGTGATTCCAGGAAACAAAGCAATTTTTAGCAATTGGGTCCACTTGTTCTGGACACCATCAGCAGAGCCTGGCATGGGTTATGCGGAAGGGTCAGAACTGATGAGAACTCTCCAAAGCTGCTCCATGTTCAACTAGGCTGGTTTCATGAAGTGCCGCTTTACCTGTTTGTAGATGCTGGCTAAAGGCGTAGCTTGAGGCACTGTTCCGCAAGTTCACCTGGGCTGTTGCATGGGCCTGACCTGGAGAGGATTGGGTTTTGTCATGCAACATTGACACACTGGCGAGGATCGTTTCCTCATCTTGGCCTGTGATGGTGTCCGACTGAGAATACTGGGTCTTTAGGAGGTTCCACAACTTGTGACACTCTTGATACCGTGATACCAACTAAGGACGAAGTATTTGCCATTTGCCATTCAAAACACTGTTATATAATTGGTAGAATGATCATGCCTTGCAGCTTCTGATTTGGCCCTCAAACCCTCGCTGAGAAATCGGACAGAGCCAAGGTGTCTGGGACGTTTTACAGGATGATGATGCAGTGGCAGTGTGCTCCAGTCAAGCAAGCAACTGAGCACAGAACACTGCCTTGATCGGAATATCACGTTCTAAATGTTCTAAAGGCCGAAAGGTTTCACAGGTCAGACTTGACAATTGCACAGGCCGGTGCACAGGAAGCAGCGTTGGCACTGGTTCGCCGATCCTTTGCGGTTGGAGCCTAGGGGAGAGCAGCAAAGGTCGCAGAGATTGTAAGCAAGAGGCCGCTAGCAATGAAAAACACACTCAGCCTTTCATTGCTTCTTATTGGTGCCAACCCTGATGAGTTGATGTTGGACACGTTTACGTTCAGGTTCCGATCCGAATCGCTTGTCTTACAATTTGGACAAACGCTTTCAGGCCGCCAGTGATGACAATCTCACTGCACTAGTGTTGACATGGAGAGATGTTGATTGAACCATCTTGCGGGAAAATATAGAGCTCAGGCTTTCTTGTGCATGTTGCGTCTTCCGTGCTCCTTGCATTCCCACAGTTCACTTCGTGCGTACTCTGCAAATTTCATGTTGATCACCTTGCAGCCTTGCAGCGAGCAAGAGATTTTGACTCCTGCCTGTGCTCGACATGGCATGGAGGCTCCGTGGTGTCCAATGTATCCTACTGGGTCTCCTAGGAAGCTCAGCCAGGGGAAAGACGTGCTTCAAGGATGCCATTCAACCTGCGGATCGTGTTGATATCACCATGGATGGTGTGAGTATGCCGATCGGCGTGTGGGATCTTTACTGGGATTCAGGCCTCATTTTTGCACGAATTTTTCAGATTTTGGCATCAGAGAAACTGGGCTACAACGTGGAGATCTTGGGCGGATCCAGCAATAGCAATTCCGTTGTTTTTCGCCTCGCAGGTTGCAACGAATCTGATGTTCTTTCAGCATCATGCTTCTCAGCACCACGACGCTTCCACTTTTCGTTCGAAAGCTGGGGGAACTACCAGCAATACGTCCCAACCCTGCTAAAAGAACTTGGAGATCGAGGGCCTGTGAATTTGGGAGGTGTGGGTTATCCAGGCACAGAAGGACTGCACGTCTTGGGCGGCGCAATCAATCGAGCGCTGTCAGATCGCGGCCTCTCGTTGCTGTACTACCGCAACTACAATGCGGATTGGTTTCGGGTCAGGGTTCGACATTTATTGTTACATGTTGCTTTTTTGGAGCAAAGCCAAGAGCAAGGGTGACAGCAGCTGTTCATCGTCTTTTTTTTCCATGATTTTTTGGCTTATTCATGCTTTTTTGATCTTAATTGGTCTGTACATGTTTCACGTTACACAAGACCTCAAACCCTGCAGGTGAATGACTACACTGCGAGGGTTTCAGATGTGAATTTGTCCAGGCTTGGAACTTGCGATGACGGTGTGAATACAGGCTACGGCTTTTTTGCGTCTGACTACCTAGCGGCAACAGGAGACACTGAAGGTGTGTACACCACCACCGAGGGCGAGGTGAGATTTAAGTGTTGGCAGGAAAAGTGGTGGGTCAGTCCGGCTTGCCGCAATGCCCCGCAGAACTGCTCGACACTCACCACTGGTTGGCCTGGGTGGGGTATGGGCCATTTGGTGCAGGCAGTGGCTTTCCATAACATGCCCATCGCCCTCGGAGTTGCCCTCCCAGGACAGAGCTCTGTGGATTAAGGTTGACAGGCAAAACATGCATGTTTGAGAATGCTTGAGAATGCCTCGGGTTTGATGAAACACGCAGGAGAATATGTATCGCTTGGCAAAGAATTGCAGAGTTTTATCTATTGGTGGCAGCCAGATGTAGGCTTTGTCGAGGAAAATGCAACTACGGTGATTCTACCTCCTCATGACCCTGCAGCATACCTGAAGGGAGTTTTCAGCAGTGCAATGCAAGAGTACGTACTCACCAAATGGTCAGCTTCGGGCCTCCCTTTCACAGCAGACCGAGCCTTGGCATTAGCCCGTTCCATGTCAATCAGAGCGCCTGAGATTAGGGATATCCTTAGGGTGCATGCATCATTGATGCAAAACTCATCTTCCACCCATTGGGATTCTGCGTGCGCCTGGCTGTTGCAAAACTCAACGCCTGAAATCTGGGAGCCGTGGGTCCCGAGCGACACGGCTTGCACTCGGGGCAGTGGCTTGGTGGATGCAAACGGCCAGTATGTCATGGAACGTGCAAGTGCCGTCGGATGTACTCTTTGCCCCGTTGGAACACGCTCGCAGGACGGGTGATAGGTGGACTCTTTGAGGGTCCACAGCTCAAATTGATTGATAGCTTATTGATGAACAAATCAATGCAGGATACTCAGATGTCCTCAGTATGCCACCATTCACCATGCACACAACATCACACAAAGTTGTGCCGACATCTATATGTGGTTACGTGGTTGTACAATATAGTATAACATGTATACAGCAATGCTGAACATGTTGACTTTCCTCACCGAAGCCGCTGTTGTCCGCAAGTACTTCAATGTTCAATGTTTTATTGACATGGTTGAAGGGATGTTTGTTGGCATCCTGTACTGGAAGCGTTCAAGGTCCGAAAGATCTATGTGTTGCAGGAAAAGGTAAGTGGCAGGGGTGTAGGCGCCTGTTGGCGCCAAAGTCTTTGTCTTGATTTCTGCAGGGTCTCACTCTACATCAGACCATATTTGAGGTATCGGTCTTAGTATATAGACGCTTCCAAATCTAGTCTATTCCGACCACAGTTAAAGCTGCTTGTTGTTGGGTGCATTGTTTGGATGAGCAAGGCTCTTTAAGATTAGTTCCACTTGTTAGCTGCGCTAATCTTCCAAGAATTCGCCCTTGTACAGGCTCTTGATGATGCTCTATATCTACACAACTTCTATGTTTAACTAAGGAATTAAAGATGTTCCTCTCAACCAAGCACACCAAGTCAGCAAGCATCGCTACAATTCACCATGACCACAAACCACGTGGATCACCACAATTTCCTATGGAATGCAGCAAGTCACCACAGATCACTCAAAATCACCACAGATGGCTTTTCCTTGACGCCACGGGTGACTGGAATGATTAGCCAGCATGAAGCGTAAACCATGACTGGTCACACTTGCCTGCAGACTCGTTTGGATGCGTGGGATTGTCTACCTTCAGTCAGTTACCTTCAGCCTATGGACCTTGAGAGACTGAGAAATTCATCGAGACACCTGATGCACAGCATATCCTGCGATGGAATTGCGCATTAAACACAGAGTAATGTGGAACATTTATATAAATGCATCTTGGGCAAAGGCTTTCCGGCAAGCACTCATTGCAAGCATTGCCAATCCAACCGCTACAACTACTGAATTCTTGGAACATATTCGTGGACGTCCATGAAACTTTGCAGGAATAGGCTCAAAACAACTGCCCCGCTTTCCTTTCCTTTCCTTTATCTTGATGGGACGACGGTATCATGGACAGCAGCAAAAACGCGTTGAAAAAGCTGAAGCCAAAGGCCAAAGGAGCTGCTCAAGGGAAAACAAAGGAATATAAACTTTAAAAGGAGAGCTGAATTGAATGCCATGCCAGAAAGGATCTGGCAATCCCAGGTCTCCCTCATATTCATTGTACCTTATGTTGAAGTGCTCTTCTCAAGAAATCCAAGTATCGTGCATGGACAACTGGGAGGAGCTAGAAAGCAGCTTGACTATGCTAGACCTTCAGGCTTTCTGTGAAATCTGTTTGGCCAAGGCCAAGTTTCATAGAGTTTTTAGCTGATAACATGCCTTTGTCAACACACAAGGAATTGCCAAGCCTTTCCACGGTAGCGTCGAATCAATGCAAATTTCAAAGTACAATCACCATGGACAGTGACCTGACTATTGTGGCGGAAGAATACATTGCATTCTTGACCTGCGGGCAGCTTTTGATGAGGTGGTGTTCTTGCATGCTCTCCAGCGCGACCCCATATAAGCGTCCAGGGTTCAGTTGATGCTCCGACATAGAATCTCAATCAACATCACCATATCAACACAGATCACTACCATACAAATAGTTATATATTTCAACTAGCCACGGGATCACATCAGCGTGGATCATTTTGAGCTGCAACGCACCACCCTCCAATTAGCGCACATCGAGTCCTACATGGTCCAACCACGTTTCACTACCTTTCCCACCTCACCTGAGTTTGCTTTGCTTCAGCAGCTTTAGCAAAAATGCATTGGGATGGGATCTGTCGACTTTGGATTGATTTTGAGAGTTTGCAGTTTGCGTATATAGAGGTCTTAATCGCTGGGCAGGGACCGTAGGTTCGACACTTAGAGTTCATTTCACCAGCACACTTGTCATCACTGCAATTGAAAAGAATAAATACAGCCGTCAAAAAAACTATCCGGAAAATGGACAGTGTAAGGTTTGTCGTTGCCACAGCAACGTGGCAACTGATAATCCCCATCGTCAATCTGGAAGAAGGAGGCGATGGGACTGACGTCACCGTAGCTAGCGGGTGCTAACACACAGGGAGCCTCTTGGTATGAAAGCCAGACAATTAAACAATTACCTTATGATGCTGCAGAAAAAGGGTTGTCTATCTGCAGAGCCTTAAGCCTCATCCTTTCTTTCCAAGAGGCTAAAGCAGATAGCCCTTTTGGATCCGATGAAGCCGCTCAAGTCAACGAAACCCACGACAACGTCTATATAATTGTGGCAGCCAATATGTCCCACAAACATGCAGAAAGAGCGCCACGAATTAACAAACAAAGAGTTAAAGGAGCAGTCACCAGGATCAAACACCCTCTCGTCCATCGGATGAAATCGGCTCTTCTATTAGTTTTCGTGAACGGACTCTTTCATGTCTACACCTCCCCGACTTGAGAAACCGTTCGTCCACCTCCCCCTCTCGAGTCCCACGTTTCACTGGCTTTCCATTTCCATAAGCCTTTTCGTTCGCTTCTTCGGTTTCAAGTCGCACAGGAGTCTGGAGAAACTCGGATTTGCCAAGCCTGCCCAACTGGAAGGCATCAGAGCCTGCCAGGAGAGGCATTTTGTGAACCATGTGAAGCTGGCAGCATTGCTCCTCAGGACTTCTGGTCATCCTTCTGAGAATCACTGTATATGCATACATACAATGGCAGACGGAACAGAAACGGGAAACCCATATATAAGCAGGAACAGCCAGGTCAACATTGAAAATCATTTATGTAAAAGCAGTCACCAAACAATTTTATGTTTCTGTTGCAAATCATATGTGTTTGATTGCTTTGAGATTCTTTGCCCCAAAGGTGTTTTCAACTCTCATTCAGGAGGGAATGATGGAATGCCAACCATGTGGCCTCGGTAATTGGACTGATGAACCAGGGATGAGCGAATGCCATCGATGTGGTGAAGACGTGACCAGCAATCAGCTACAACTCGAGCTGTTCACCACAAGCAAGAAAGTTTCTACAGGTCACTTGCATGCACACGATCTTGGGATGAGTGAGTTGCGATCTTTTTGGTGTGGTCAAGTTTCAAGAAGTTGTCTGGAAGGTTAACCTAATAGCGATGGCCTCCAACCCTAAGAGCAATGGCCTCCAACCTAGAAGCGATGGCCTCCAATTGTTTATTGTTTGCACATGCTTGAGGTGAATCTGGTGAAATGTGGATCCAGGTGCAAGGGGCTTCGTCACGGCAGCTGTGTGAATGCAGGGAAGGAGCCCACATGGTCTCTGGGCTTTGCGTGCAATGCCCTGAAGGACAGACTTTGCTGGCATTGACCAGCTAAGTGAGTTTTGATTGTTTTGATCGCACTACCTACTCATGAAACCTTTTGATGGCTTTTGCCGCAGTTCAACAAGCCAAGATATGAATGATTGAAATAACAAAACAAAAACAAAAAAAACGGAAAAGGACACACATAGGTGCACGCCCTCTTCTGGACAGCACTTGTTGATGGGTTTTGTCCAGGATCGGCGTGCGTTGGCTCGGCGCTCACACTTCTGCCAGGAAACGGTCCGGCTCAAGCATTGCAGCATGAGCTGTGTTTTTTAAAATGCAGCATACATTTTAGATCTTCGTTTGGAAGCGGGCCCCCAGCAGACTACATTGATTCCACAAGGCAGCGCTAGGTCGGCGCTGGGTTCTCTGTGATATGTGACCACGATTTGGCTATGTGTAAAAACCGGTTACCTGGGTTGACCACAAAAAATGAAAAGAATACACTACCTGGGAGGTCAACTTACCAAGGGTTGGGGCTCCGGGTTTTACGCAGCGGTGCCAATCTGAAGGTCATGTGACCTAACGACTGGCCTCCACGCCCGCTCTGGAGCATGGAGACAAACTAAAGCAAGAGAAGGACAATCAGAAGAGATTGTCAAGTGCAAAAGACCAACCGTTCAGGAGGTCTTTGCAGCCCAAATGAAAACCACGTGCAATTGCCAACAAGACATCACATTCAATGTACAGCTCGTAGCCAGGGATTTTCCCGGCTGGGAAGTTACGCCCATTTGACTTCCTGCCCTTATCTGTTATTGCAGGGAGGAATTGCTGGTCAGGCCAAATGCGAAAGAAGTTGAGCATCGCTCGAAGTCTCGTAGCGAGGGCATCAACCGTTGAAACCGCATCATCACAGCAGAGACGAAGCTTACGAAGTGGAAAGTAAAGGCGATTTCAATGATGGAGGTTGCATTCTCAGGCGAACTCAACCATCTGCACCCTTGCAAGAAGGTGAGCAGGGTCACCCACCCAACTAACAGGACTGAATTTCCAACCTTCGGGAGGAGGACACCTCCGCGGGATTTTCGGGCGGCTCTCGGTGTGTCCCAGTGCCAACGAGGTAGCCATTGGCTGGCCAGTTCGACAGTAAGCGGAACATCTTCGCTGCGGTCCTGTCCCTGATGTGAAGCTGCAGGAATCGGCTCAGGCTCTGGCACTAGATCACCCAAACGCTGGTGTAGGTTGGCCCACCACACATGGTGCTGAACGATCTTGGCTTGCAGTGGGCCATCCCATGAGGGTGGAATAGGAGCATGGCTGGCAGTGACCTGACGTGCAATCCTATCAGCCTGCCTATATTGCGCAAAATCGAAAGCACAGTTGTTGTGCCAATGCCTCAGTAAGCAAGGAATCAGGCACTTGATCAGCAACATGTGAGGGGACCCATTGTACGGAGATGGGATCTCGGCACTGAAGCGACCTAACACGAAGAACCGAAGCGACATGGTGCCACCAAGACTGCATTGACCGAATGTGGATTGGGAACCCCCGAGGTCACTAGCTCATTAAAGCACTGTACGATGGAGAGGCAATCAGTGTGAACTAAGATGGGGCCCTTGACACACTCCATTGTTTGTAGGTGTGCTTGTGTGTTGTCAAAGGATTGTCCTTCTCCTCTTTCTCCTTCTTGTCCTCCTCTCTACCTTCACGCCCTCCCTCCCTCCCCCGCTCCCTCCCTCACTCACTGGAGTACCGGCGATATTTGTTGCGCTAGCTCCGCGCTCGCCGCGCTAGACTAGACGAAGGTGCACTTCATGATCAGTGGTACACGGCTCAGCTGATTTAGGCTCACTTTGGCAAACATTAGTTCCTCACGTTTGCCGCAGCATGGGTCCAATGACGAGGGTTGATGCAAACTGTCGTCTCAACCCATCAGCAGCAAGAGTCCGCCTCCGCGCTAGCTAGAATTTTGCAGTTATCTGATATGTTTCCCCTGCGTATGTAAAATACATGTGCCTTAACATGTTCTAATTATGGGTCCAACATTCAGGAGTTTTAGAAGCGGGCCTCCACCAGGTGTGCCAAAATGAACTTTGGGGAAAAGACATGTTGACAGCCACCCATATACACATATACAAAAGCTTTGCCATATAGATAGCCAGCTCCTCACGCCACATAGGAATCCATCAACAACGCTTGCTGGCGGTAGCAAGTAGCACATGAACCATTGAGCCAAAACTTTGAACACACTGTTTCTTGATGGGACTGACTCAATTGTTGCGAGTTCCCACTCTCGTGACCTCCTCACCAGGCTACTACTCACCCGCAGACAACGTGGGTTTAGTCTTCAAGTGCAAAAAGAAGGAGTACTGCCCTGGTGGCTACCCAGGAACCTGCGCCGTTGGCAGGGATTTTCAAAGTGTAGCTTGTAGCGCGTGCTTGCCTGGATTGCACGCGCAGGGGGGTGAGTGCATCTTGGCCTCAGGTTTAAGGTCCAATGGTGCGCATTCAATGTTCATGTCCTTTTCCTCTCGCTAATGCTATTGAAACTGCGCAAACAATTGACGCCAAACATGCACTGAGGTGTTCCATGCGAAGGTGGTGACTATGCATTGGTTAGCATCTTGCTTGTCCTTCTCTTGGTGGCGACTACAATAGCATATTTTGCATTTGCTGCCAAGGATGCAAGAGGGGGGCCCTCTCAAAGTTTCATTATTGTTTCATGCAGCATGGGACAGTTGGCGGTATCCCTTCAAGTTCCTTGGAACTTTACAGAAGTTTCGTTTTTGGAGGAAACGTCGCAAGTCTCATGCTCGGACTTTCGGCCCTTCAAGTCAGCGAAGAAATGCTTGGAACTGAAATTGGACAGGCTTTGCAAATCTTGATATCCGCCCTTCAAGGCCATGTGAGCCAGAAAAAAAGAGTTGATGTAAAGTAGTATTATGGGCTCCTTCGTTCAGAATTCCACGCACCGCCGCAGCTATTTCTGATGTTTTCTGTCTTTGTGGAATGTGTCATTTAGCTGAGGAGCGACCCTCCGAACGACATCCAAAACGACATTGGAACGACCTCCTTAACTACGTGCATAATGTATTTGCTGCTGCTGCTGCTCCTGCTGCTCCTGCTCCTCCTGCTGCTCCTGCTGCTCATGCTCCTTCTGCTGCTCCTGCTCCTCCTGCTCCTCCTGCTGCTCGTGCTGGTGCTGCTGCTGGTGCTCACTTTCGATGGACAGTATTTAGCCAGATCTCTCGGCGAAAAAAAGACCTCTGAACGACCTCTAAACAACGTAACGACGTTTGCATTTCAGTCAGAATGACCACCACCACCACCACCACCACCACCGCCACTAGTACCAGTACTAGTACGACGACTACTACTACTCCTACTCCTACTCCTACTCCTACTCCTACTACTAGTACTACTAGTAGTAGTAGTACTACTACTACTACTGCTGCTGCTGCTGCTACTGCTACTGCTGCTGCTGCTTCTACTACTACAACAACAACAACTACTACTACCACTACCACGACCACGACGACGACGACGACGACGACGACGACGACGACGACGACGACGACGACGACGACGACGACGACGACGACGACGACGACGACGACGACGACGACGACCGCACTGCTGCCGCTGCTCCTCCTACTCCTACTCCTACCCCTACTCCTATATACTCCTACTCCAACTCTCCGACTGCTGCTGCTGCTACTACTATGTTATATGTTTATTACTATTGTTGCTGCTGCTACTGCTACTACTAACTACCACCACCACCACCACCACCACCGCCACCGCCACCGCCACCGCCATCGCCACCACCGCCACCAAACATGAAGACCGCCGCTTGTAAATCACACGATTTGCTGTTGGGATAATGATTTGCGTACCGGGTTTTCTTTCCAGCTCATGTCATGAGTTTTTCACCCTATCAAAGATCCTTTTCAAGCCAACATTCAATTGTGGTTAGACATCCTCAAATGATTGTGACTATATACCCACAAGGCACATGGCGTGCATGTCCAGCAAGGTCATTTCTCTAATCCACCAATTTGGATTGAATTGGAGCGAACCAATTGCCTCCTTGATGACCGCTACCGAAATCATGGTCCTCGAGCTGAACTTCTTATCTATAGATTGCCTCACCCCAGAGAATGCAGTGACGCTTTTCTCCTTTCACGCCATGGTTCTGACTCTCGGCCTCGATTTCTACACTGAAGTAAGCTTGAGGCGTTGGGGTTGCCTACTGGTAGCACCGCTGACTTCACACACATCTAAGGCCTTTGCTTTTGGTGGTTCTTTGTCTTATCCATTTCTTCGTGGTCGTCGTGAGACGTGGCAAAACCTGGCAACTTCATCAACTAACTCAAGTCCTCGGCTCTTCGTGCATCGTGATCTTCATCTCCTTTTGCTCTTCTTTGATGCCGCCTTTGATTTGCCAGACTCATCCCAACCAGCTTTCGACGGTGCGGGCCTATCCATCAGTGTTTTGCGGCGACTCACAGCATCTCACGATGGTCCTCATCAGTTCTTTTGGATTCCTACTACCCTTTGCTTTCCTTGCCTTCAGTTTTTGGCTGGTCTTGCAAGTGCCTAGCAGGCTTAAGAGCTCAGATTTGAGGTTCATGCGTGGCTGCTCCTTTCTGTTTGGTCGCTTTCGACCAGGAGCCGAGCCTTTCGCTGTTTGGCTTTTGCTTCGTAACGCCGTACTTGTTTTGCTGCCTTTGGCCCCCCAAAGTGCGGGCACTTTTGTGATGACTGTCGTCCTTGCTCTCAGTGCGATCATATCTGCTGCGTGGAAACCCTGGCACATGATGGCCTGCAATTGGTTGGATGTCTTTCTCACAGCCTCCACAGTGTTCATCTCTAGCTTGGGCTTGCATGTTGCAGGTGAGGTCAATGAACAGTTGACGATTGTTGCATGCTTGACACTCCTCATCCTTATGTTCACTTCAATCTTGGGCTTGATAGTTTACGGAGCTTTCAAGTTTTGCACCAGAAATGAGAAGACCTACAAGTTCTTCATTTCACACCACAAGAGCAAAGCCGGAAGTGTGGCACGGTGGCTGAAGATGTTGCTCTTGCAACGTGGTAAACGATTCACCACCTTCGCAGCCCGTTGGAAGCAGTACTGGTTGTTTTTGATGAAATTATTGGAAACCATGAGAACCCTCCATCCTTGTAGCAGGTGAGTGATGGTCCATCACCCACCTGCTACAAACAATTGTCAGGGACTGCAACATATTCCACAACAAGACAATGATCGGACTCAGTGTGCAACAATGCTGGTGTATAGACGTATAATATTGTGCAATTAAAGAACGGATCGCTAATGTTTGCCAGGCAGGTTCGAAGGCATGTGAACCTTCTCCCTTCCTCTAATTAAAGATCCGAAGGAAGTATGGGAATGTCCTCAACTATGTGCGTGCACGGCTGACCAATACTCGGACACAACCAAGGTGGATTGCGACAATCTCAGCGACCTCACAAAGCTCTTTTGGCATTTGAGTCATGAGACTGCCACTTGCATCGTGTTGCTCTCGCCCGACATCTTAAAGCGCAAGTGGTGTGTGGGGGAAATTGCCACTGCAAGGCCTGCGGCGGGGCGCCGAACCGTAGAAAGGGAGAGAGGGAGCGGGGGAGGGAGAGAGAGAGGGAGACAGAGAGAGGGGGAGAGAGAGAATGAGAGGTGGTGGCTGGGGCACAGCCGGGACGGCCCCGCAAGTTCGTATGATTTTCCGTTATCACAAGGGACCTGGACGATGCCTCCTCAATGAACCCTAATCTTTCCTTCTAGATGGACCCTCGGGGACCCTGCTGATGGTTTCGTCGTGCGTCATCCTGAGGTCTTCCCTACGCCAGCATGTTTACCTCTTACGTGCATGGATCTCCTACGTGCCCTCTCATATGGATTCCCTATCCACCCTCCTCACTCCTTGTTTGAAGTGGACCTACTTGACCGACCCTACGACCCACCCACCTACATGGCCCCTAAACTCTGGTCGGACCTGGTCGTAGTACCCTCCTGTGTGCCCCGCGTTGAGCAGGACAATTCATGTTTCTTGATGTGGTTGTATTATGCTGTATTTGATTGCATATTTTATGTAGGCATACAGATGTATACAGTGTATCTAGTGGCAGACGGGCTGAGAAGATCAGGCTGGTTAGAGATCTATGGTAGCTTTGTGGGCGGGCAGCCCAGTATCACCAGTATCAACGCTTGTATGTTCACATGAGGTAGCAATAGTGCTTTTCAACCCTGAGTACTTTGTTGTGAGGGGGCTGCGCACAGGTCGCAGTTACGGTGGCAAAAATATCGATACGGAGAAGAGAAAACAAGTAGCAGACAAAGTAAGGGAGGTAGCAAAGATTCAAAGCAGGCCTTAAACCACTAATTAGTAACACTAGAAAGTCATACTGTATTCGAATATAGTATATAATATGAAGGACAGAAAACCAATGAACGTAGCAACAAGCCGAAAAATGTCAAGAAAGGAGAAGCAGAAGGAAATAGAAAAAAGACAAGCAAGCAGCGAAATGTTTCACGCTTACGTGTTTTTTCTGTTTAGTTTGCAGCCTGACACAGGTCTTGAGACTTGGAGCCTTAGATTAGAGCGGCGAAACAAGCAAGCAAGATGTATTGTGGATAAGTGGCCTGAGAAGTTAGGACCAATAGAGGAAAGCAAAGACCAAAAGAGAGAAATCAAAGTACACAGCATAGAGGTAGCTCAAGGCACTGCCTGCACATCTTGAGCAGAGACACACATCCAGCCATGCATCATGTGTTTCTCACAATGCCGCGGCCTCGCCGGAGATTGTTGGTAACTTGCTGTGGTAGGCATGCACTACCATTGGGCCCTCGGGTCCACCTAGAACGGGCCAGCCATAATCATTGATCCCGGCCTGTGCAAGTAGGTTCACTCCTTCTGTTGCGGGCCAAGACCTGCTGCTTGTGATTTTGGTGTTCGATGGTAGCACTTTCATGGTGAGGCTACATGGTGTGCACTCTGTCATGATTGCCTGGCCAGACTATGTAAAGCCAGATGAGGCGAGGCAAAAGCCAAACTAAGTAGAAAGGCACTTGGAGTATGTTCAAACATGTTCAAACCTTGCTCTCAGGCCTTCATCAACGACTATACCACTTTAGTCCCAGACATTGTCCATCTTGTGCATCACAATATCAGTTTGGCTGACGTTCAAGAATCTTTGCGCTGGATCAACAGCTTGCAGACGTTCTCACTTCCCACAGCGTTGAATTTAGAGTCTTTGACAAAGCAATGGCACATTCATGCAATTTTGTTGTGTGGAACACACCAAAACTGTGTCCGGAAAAGGGTCGACCAGAAGAAAAACTTAATTTTTCGACACAAGCCGGTCACATTATACAATCGGACTCCATGAGTTGCGCTTGGAATCCATGAGTTGGACAAGACGCAACCCTGGCATGGTGTTTAAAACTTAGTCCGCTTGATCCAGGAGTCAATGGTGGACGTGGTAAACAAGCTGACTGGAACCTCGCCCCACATCAAACGCTTATCCGACGACACAGAAAAGCGCCTCAGACAGAAGTGTTTGAGACGGACATGTTTGCCTTGGGGGGTTTGACGCCAGGTTGATATTCAAGGAAAGGCTGCAGAAGCGCCAACAGATCGTACACCTTTTGATTCCAATGTCATTGTGCCACAAACTGGCGTATTCACGCGTACCAATATGTTTCAAAACATTGACCATACTAGTACCTATCTACAACATACAAACACTATATAATATACATATGAACTCGCGATACCAGATAAAGCCCTGAATATATTGCTAAAGGGTTGATCATGCTGTGTGCAACTTCAAGACATCCTTACACTGGGAGAAGTCGTGAGTGCCTTACACCCCTCTCTTGCAACGCGGCTGTCAGGGTGCAAAGCTGCTGCATCATGGCAGACCCTGGCAACTTCGAAGCTGTTGCCGCAGCGTTCGTAATCAGTGACTTGATAAACCTCCACTTCATGAGGCGCGAGGTGAAAAGATCGGCCTTGCCGAAAGACGTGAGTGATATGAATCATGACGAAAGGCAACAAAAGCCCTTAATCAGTACAGTAATCCGGCAGTGGTTGCCCCAACCATTTTTCTTCAAAGACCTTGATCACCACATGTTCGCTGATGTGTCCAAAGTGTTCAGGTCTTTGACAAGCCAGACAGTGGTCATGATGCAGGGTGACAACGTTCCTGACAATACGCTCTACGCAGTGGTGGTGTGCAGCGGAGGACGAGGGGGATTTTTGTGTTGCGGCATTCATACTTATTTGGCTTCCAGATGGCCGGTCAAAACATGCAGTTGGCGAGCAGTGTTTGCTAGCGGGTACCGGTCGCAACCCCCTCAAAGAGAACAGAAAAACATACATAATTTGTTCGATATCTTACCGTTGTTCCGCGCTTTTCTAAAATTCGTAAGAACGAAGTCGATGTTTACCGTGGTTACTACGCCTTTCGGTAAATACCATAGCTCAGGAACCTGGGCAATGCTGCGAAACGAAATGACTATTGACCTTCTTAGTGCAGATTTTGGTTACAAAACGATTCTTACCAAAATTTACATAATAGTCAGTCTTTTTTTGCCGCCAGCCACCGCCCACCAACCACCACTGTCCCAGAAAGTTCACTCCGCTCCAACAAGGAAGACCACACATAGGGGTGATTTGAAAGATAAGATATGAAATTGTTCAACGCTACAGTAGCTGGTGCATACTCGCACTTACCCTGTTCGCTTACGCATCTGGCTCGCATACGCACGTGTTGTTCCCACAGATTTGCTTTTGGTAGTCCAAACGCCAGGCTTCGCAATCAATTTGCTTGTCGCGCCCCGCGCCAGCAGCAGCTTCTGGTGAATCCCCAGCAAGGACAACCTCCAAGCAGCTCGCGAAAACTTCTCAGCCCAACTCTTGCCTCCGGCAATCCATGACTTCTTGCTTACCATCAGCCTTGCCAGCTGCCAAGGCGTTTGTGCGTGGCAAAGCCTCAGAAGGGCAAGAGCAGCTGCACAATGCTATTGACATGTTTTTCGACTTTTTTTATATGTGTTTATGGCTCAGCACCGATGTCATCAGATGAGGCTTCCCATTCCCGTTCCTCTTTTCCTCTTGCTGCCAGGAGGAAGCTGACGGCAGGTCAACATGGTAAGACATTGAAGGGATGCAGCGAGACAGCGAGACGGAAACCCATGTCACTGTCCAGAGCGTCACCGTTCTTGTCAGACTTCTTATTACGTTGCAGCTCCGAGTTCCTTCAAGTCGAGTATGGGAGCAAGAAGGACAAAGAAGCCTTGTGGCTTTGGTTTGGGGAAGGTTGGAACCTGGACGACGCTTATGAAAGCTTGAGTCTCTACAAGAGTTTCTACGACGTTTGAAGCAAACAGCTTTCAGCATCAGCCTCAGCATCTTGGGCAATGCCCACCTGTCGAAGATCATAGCCATCGCGTGGCCTGCAGGGCCAACACACAGCAGCAACGACGGAGCGGTTCTTGCTTATCTTGCTTTGCGTCGACCCATGTCGACCCCAGTCGCGCGGCATCATGCCCTACCAGACCACAAAGCATGTTGGAGACAGACCCTGAACTGCCTAAATGGACACGCCTCCTCAGCAACAATTTTTAGGTGGACTGACATTGTGGCGAATCCGGGCTATTTCTCCGGCTTGCCATGGAGGATGATGCGTCGTGCTCGGCGCCTTTAATGCTATTTTGGCTAGGGCTCCTGCTGAAAAGGTTCGCTGCTCAAAGCAGAGCTTCTTTTCCCTTTGCCCTTAGCTTGTGATTCCCAACCAACGAACTCGCACAGAACGCTGAGACTTCGGATCCATCTTTGCAGGCAGTGCGTGCTGCAGCTGCTCACCACGGCCAAATGTCTGCTGCCATTGATGTCTTGGCTTTGCAAATCGATTCGCATTGCAGCGCGATGTGCTTCTTTCTTTCTGTTCTCTTGTTTTCCTTTGTACCGCAGCCCTGCTGCCCCAGTGATGCTTGGCAGCTCTTCAGCAGTTCCTCGACTTTGGTACGCGCGGCAGAAGACGGCTGCACAGTGCAAGAGAGAGGAAGTCACTGTCACTGTGATCTTGCGGAGTTGGTCACCAAGTCCTTCCAACCAGATCCGGTTATCCAGCTTCAACACGAGGCAACGCAATACTGTAAGGTATCGACTCGAGAAACTTTCAACAGGAGGGCCCTCTGGTCCACGATGACAGCTGTCACCTCATCATGGGTCAGTGTCGGGCGCAGAAGGATTCTCCGGCCATCGCAGGCGGTTCTCGCGCACCATATGAACAAGTGTTTTTACTTCAGGGGAGCCTGCACCGGCCCCCAATTGCGCCCACTTTCAGGAAATGCACGACGTTCACAACATTGCACGTCTCCACACCGTAAAAGACCGTCTCCGAGCGAAGTCGAACAGAAGACAGGGCTATCAGTGCACAAAGTTCCACAAATTGTACGTGTGTGTGTCATCCCCTGTACCAAAGGGTTTAACGCCACTGTTCAACAAGGCAGGGGGCCACAGCTCCTTTCATCAGTCTGTGGCCAACGAAGCTACTGATGATTGGAGAGGATATGAACCTGGGACGCCAGGTTCACGTACCTGCTTTCCTTTTTCAACTGTTGACAAGCTGTCCACTCTCGCTTTTTTTGGTTTCATGGTCCTTCACGATACTTCCCCCAAACCTACTCTTCCCCAGCAGCTGCGCCGCCGGTTTGATTGTCTTGCCGCCATTTTGAACCATGTTGAACAATACTTTAGCGGACTTTGCAACCTTGCCGTTCCCTCGCCTTCCTTCTCAACGTGGGAACTGAGTGTAACTGAGAACCAATGTCAGAGTGTGTCTCGCTCAGCCGTCCCACTCGGGTGCTGAGTGTGATCCTCCGCAAGGAGGCGCCGTTTCATTCAGGAAATCGTGTAACTGAGCTTTTCCACCTTTCACAGGAATTCACATCTTGACCAACCTTAACTGAATTTACTGCTTCCACGGCCGCCGGGCCAAAAAACGGGATACATCGACCAGCTGAGTTCGTTCTGCGTCGGCTTTGCGTTTTGTGATTCATACTGCTAAGTATTCACAGGCCGGACGAATTAATCGTGCACCCCCTCCCTGCCCCTGGGCCTCCTCTGCTACCCCACCCGCTACTCGAGCAACAGAAGGAAATCGCACTCAACACACTTGTGTGTTGGTGCCTTTCCTTCTGTTTCTCCTAGTCTATTGCTAGCTACCCGGGCGGTTTAAGACGAATGTCCCGCTCGCAAACTACTTTCGTTTAACTAAGTGGGCCTCGTAACTACCCCTATTTTTCTTTCTTGCCCTCTTAGTCTGCTTTTGTTTTGTTTGCTTTGTCTGTCTTTCTAAGGCTTTTTAGGTGACTAATAGTTTTTCGCAGCGCCAACAATTGGCGCTTTCTGTACAAATGTTCTCCGGGGAGTCAGGACGCTACTGGAGGCCCCTGGCCTCACTACTACTTTGACCGCGCCGAATACGGCTCTGTGTGTGTGTGTCACCCCCTGTACCAAAGGGTTTAATGCCACTGTTCAACAAGGCAGGGGGCCACAGCTCCTTTCATCAGTCTGTGGCCAACGAAGCTACTGATGATTGGAGAGGATATGAACCTGGGACGCCAGGTTCACGTACCTGCTTTCCTTTTTCAACTGTTGACAAGCTGTCCACTCTCGCTTTTTTTGGTTTCATGGTCCTTCACGATACTTCCCCCAAACCTACTCTTCCCCAGCAGCTGCGCCGCCGGTTTGATTGTCTTGCCGCCATTTTGAACAATGTTGAACAATACTTTTCAGCGGACTTTGCCACCTTGCCGTTCCCTCGCCTTCCTTCTCAACGTGGGAACTGAGTGTAACTGAGAACCAATGTCAGAGTGTGTCTCTGTGTGTGTGCGTGTACGCTACGCGCGTTTGAAGCTCAGGTCCGCCCTGATTGACGTGGGCAGTCTTTGCAGGGCCACGGTCTTGATGCTCAGCCGGCCGCCGAGTGTATAAATGACATTAAAAGACAACATCCGCTTTTTGCTCTTCCTTTTGCATTGCGGATTTGTGCGAAATCTACAAGTGCACTGACTATATCTTCGCGCGTTTTTGAAGCCATATGCTGTTCCGTGGCAAACGCCGGATTGGATCTTACATGCTGACGCCCGTTGCCCAGTGTTTCTGATTTAACCCACGCTCAATGCAGCGCAGCTGCCAACCACTGGCGCAACCGCCCCGCGAACCCGCCGCCGGCCATCGCCCCACATCGTTCCCACCAGCCAGCAGCCGCCAACAACTGCCGGCAGACACCGCCACCGGCCACCGCCACCGGCCACCGCTCCCACCAGCGGCCATGACAAAAAGTCAACCGCCCACAATCCCGGGATAATTATATAACTAAAAAACATCGATCGATCGTGACCGATCGATTTTTGTATAACTGTGTTTATTTTGTTTTCGGTAAAGGACTATAAAAGGATATCTAGCTGAAGGGCCGGACAGAGCGAAAAGAACATGCCGTTTTATTGTATTATTGTGGAAGTGCCTCAGGGGAACCCCGTAATCCCGAGGACAGTTACCTATTACAAAACGGACCCCTATTTAAAATAAATCACGTCCGAAACCCCTAAATACGGCTTATATTGGTGTTTAAATCGCCGCCTGTTCAAACGGCTACAAAACTACCAACATTGCCCATTTTGGACGATTGTTTAAAATTAGGTTCCAAAAACGACCGCAACTGCCCACCTCTGTCCACCCTGTCTATCCACCATGACACGCCGTGTTTACACCAGCAAGCTTTCCTTCCCCCAATGGCATGGACTCACGCAAACGCATTTTCCACCGAGGTCACGCAAAACCGCATGGCACAGTGACATCACCTTCCGACAGCTTTATATAGTTGTTAGATGTTGTTAGTCTAATAAAGAATCACTATTCTAATAAACACGCTTGTAGGGGAAAGGAAGACCCTTCGATCTGGAGGCTTGGTTTTTTGAACTTTTGATACGAGTTTAATAGAGGAGTTTGTATAAAATTTTCCTGGGTGACTTTTTGGCTTTGAAGCCCTTCCCAGGTGACCCTAGTTTGGACCACCCCGATTTCAGGGACCCCTGTTAAAAAAAAGGCGATCGAGATTTCCTTATTAGGGGAGGGCGTGTTTTTTAATAGGTGGACCGGATTAATCCGAACAACAGCGCTAAGAAAACGCAGTAGCAAGTGGCAATGGTGATTTTGATTTTTGTGCAAGCATGGTCCACGAGATAGGTTCTTTCAACCAGATGTGGGCACAGTTTCATGCCATTTCATGTCTTCCAGCTTCCGGTTCGGCTAGGCTGCTTCGACTCGGTGTACTGGGCAACTTGGATGGTCCAACTCGGCCAAAAGCCGTGCATGGCTCTGCCAGTGTTTGCTGACGAGGACTTTCAGGTCCCAGGTGCCTAGCCGACGTCCAGGTTTGTGTCTTCTAGGGTTACAGACGTCATTAAAAGCCTGACCTTTATGCTATCAATGCCCACTGAACAGTTTTAAGGCGCATGAGTAAGTGCAAGAGTAAGTTACCTTATATACCCCCATGTCAGATTGTGCAGCTCCAAGATAGTTTTTGCAGTCCTGGTCCCTGGTACAGAAAAATGTGGCGTTGTTTTTTCAGAACTTGCAAAACCAGAATCAGCATTGCTTTGGACCGTTCTTGGGGACTCCTGCAGGCCATGACCTTTACATGCACCTAGCCAGCAATCCTCACCTCAGAGACATGGCGCCAGTTCTGGCAATGACAATCAGAGTTTCTTGTCAGATGGGAGTTGTTAGGAATTTGTATCAGAAACTCTAGAGCGAACCTCCATTAACACAACCCTCAGCTTATTTTGGTGTTCAACGAATGTGTCAAGTCGAATAACTTAGGGACTGCTTAGCAGATATATACATTGGAAAAGTCCCTCTCAGAGTCTCAGAGCCTTAGAAATGTGAGTTGTTCAAAGCCCAAACCCGTATGAGCTTCGCCGAAGCCTTCCTGCACCTTGCATTTTTCTCACCGCGCTCTTCTTGGCCATTTGCCTTGTAATTAAAGGCGATTACACAAGAAGTGGTGGCGGTGGGATGCAGGCTTAATGTTCAAAACTATAGGCTATAAATGGTGTCACGTTCGCTCCTCAAAGGTCTCATCAACAGCATCGATGTCAAGCATAGATTTGGGTTGAAACTGTTGTGTTGGAAAAAACAACAAGTTTATGCGTTGGATGTTTGCGGGCATTCATCCAAGTAGCGTAGACAGGCAGGTGTAGGCGAACCGCGTGGCACTCAGGCTGTCTTTGAAGAGATTGGAATCATGTGCTTGCCGACGCCCCAGGAAAACATGCCATGGGCCTGGCCTTCGGCAAAAATTGGCCTTCAGAAACATGTACGATCTCAGTTTCAGCAGATCTGGTCAAAATATATAACTCCAATAGGGACTAGGAGCAAGGACGCTACTAGGGGCTCCTGGCCTTACTACTAGGAACAAGAAGCTACTAGGGGCTCCTGGCATCGCTACTAGGAGCAAGAACGCTACTCCGATGAATTGAGCTCGAACTCCGATAACCCAACTTTGATGTCACCATGATTTGCCCCATCTTGGCAGGGTACAGATGGCATCGCAAGAGGAGTTGGATCTCCGTGCTCGGCAGATCGTCACGCGATTTACCCAGAAGCCACCTCTTCCACTCCCATCCAAATTGGGCAACAGGAAGCCGCCAGCACACTTCAACACCGAGGCATTGGAGGCGTGGCGTGTCGAAAAATAGAAAAAATGTTAAAAACATCATTACCCTACGCTGCCTACAGCTTGCAACATTTGTGAAAGACACTTGCGCGGAAGAGCGTGTGATTCGTGAGTCATGTATGGTATGATTCATAATTTGTGATTTGTTTCGTGATTTGGGATTCGTGCTTCGCAACTCTGTCTTGGAGCTTCTCTGGATCACGTCTCCCAGAATGCTACTGCAAGGGGCTCCGAGTTGCCGACGCGCAAAATTAAGCTCAAACTAAGTATGTAGCACGCACAAGTGAAATCGTTGCATTGCAAATCTGGTGGGTGAACGGTCCAAAAGCAGCCAAGCCTCGCGCACATACAGCAAAATCACTCAGCAAAGGAGAGCTCAAGTCAAAGGCCAGTGTTGTGTCGTTTGAGCGGTGCGCCGAAAAAGAACTCATGGAGTGGATGTGGGTAACACAAACGGACGAGGCAGTCACGCAGCCTTTCGGCCCTGGTCTTTGGATACTTTGAGCTGCAAAAGCTTCAGAATTTTGTGCGGGCATGCTTGGGTGCTACTCAGAGCCGCTGCAGACAGCTTCTGCATGCTTCTGCAATGCGTTTATAAGTGTGAAGGGTGTGAAGGATTGTTTTAAGCGGCTGTAGGAATTTAACATGCTTTAACGATTGTTAAGGTTTGAGGTTGATGGATCCATGGACACTGTTCTAAGATCCAAACTAGGGCCTTAGGGCAGGCAAGGGCACATATAGTCCGTTCGCACCATGGAGTGGCTTTTGAGCTTGTGTGTTGCAAGTCAGCTGATCGTCAACTGGGTGCGTTTTTCTTGGCTCATGCGTGCGTGAGCAGGACCCTGAGTTTTCCCCAGTGACCAAAATGATGCACAGAGGAAGGTTACGTTGAATCAGTTTTCAGGGTATGCCTTTTTCTTCCCAGTACCTTGGTTCTTGGATACTTTTACCCTGGCTTGCACAGGAAGCAGGGTTATTGCACACAAAGTTGAGAAGTAGCAATTTGCAGTCTTGTGACTTGTTGCAACAAACACAGGTGGTTGAGATACATCCACAACATCCTGGCCTGGCAGACCACTACAACCTTGAGCACAACGAAGAAATGGTTTCTGAAGCCTTATGATTCCAATTCAGTGTCTCTTCTAATTTTTGATCCCTGTTGGCTGGGGGCTGGAGCATCCAGCAGAAGTGGCCAAAGTCAGATTGCTGGTGGTCACCCCCTCCCTTCCGTACCTGTTTTCTTGTGTTTAATTTTTGACTCTGAAATTTGCAGACGCTTGCAGAAAAGAAGGTTGTGTGTCTTCGGTAGCTCGAAGCAAACGTGCATGGCTCTTCAAGAGAAAAGCACTTTGAGCCATTGCGATCGAAGAAAACACAATCAACACAGTATACAAGCCTTTCAGAAGAACCTACTTGTACACGTTTGTAGAGTCTCTATAAGATGTAGGCATTGCCTGGAATTGTCATTTTGGCGTTGTGCCTTGTTGCCTCTTGATACCTGTTCAAATCGTCACTCCAATGTGTAGTTTTTAGATTAGATCAAATACGTGTGTTTTTCCCAAAGAAGAACCTCATTTGGTTTCCCTAGTTGACTGGAACATGGACAATCATAGACAGCAGCGCAAGCCCGGCAGAACAGTTCTCCGTATCCAGGAGTTGTTGGGCCAGGTAGCCCTGGGATCTAGTAAGGTAGAGCAAAGTGCGAGGTATCAATTTGCTTTGACAAACCGCCGATTTGACTTGATTAGTTATTGTCAAAAAAATACTTTTTTGGATTATTGAAGAAAGATCAAATCAAGCATTTGACTGACTATAACTTCTAAAACTGATCAGATGTGTGCGGTCTCACTGATTTGTGCATGCAGACTTCTAGCAACTGCTCCTTCTTGTGGCACGCAGTCGAGGCCGAACAACCACAAGCACTGTTGCGCAGTGCGGCTGAGTTCTTATTTATTTTGTGAGGTTCCTCGCTCAAGATGTGTTTGTCAGTTACATGCTGTTGGAATGAATTTGCCAAAAGGTGTTCAAATGAGCTGTGGGCTTCCATACCAAGTTGGTGTAGCGGTGTAGCTGGTGCAAAACACAAAACTTATGTAAGTCAGAAGGTGTGTTCAGTGGGCTGTATGTACCACTAGGCATTCCAGTGCAACTTGAGTGCGCGCCCATCAAACAAAACAAGGGGGGAACAAGCAAGGAGACAAGGTAGCAGCAGCAGACAAAACATGACAAAACGCCAAACAGACAGGTGGGCAAATGGGGAGACGTGTAAGGAGACAGCGACAAACAACATGCCGATCGCCAGACAAACAAGTGCAGAAACAATTAAGGAGACAGGCAGACAAGTGTGTTTGATGCTGCTGGCGCCGCTGCTGACTTGTCTCCCCACTTGTCTCCTAACATGTCTCCCCAGGGCGCCTGTATTCCATTTTGGTTTGCCGCTGATCACAGGCAGAGAAGCGAAGAGACATGTCAAGGAGACAAGTGGAGACAATGCAGCAGCGGCACAGCAGCAGCAAACCAAAAGGGTGATCACACAGGCAGATAAATGGAGAGATACAGAGAAATAAAGTGGGAAGACAAGCCAAAACAACACAGGCAGATAAGTGGGGAGATATGTAAGGCGACAAATGGGGAGACAGGGCGCAGCAGCTGCAAACCAAAACGGCGTTTGTGGCTTTGGCTTCATCTCCATCGATCTTGGAGCCATGGGGCTTACGTGAGATTTCTCACGAGGTCTACGATGCCTCACGCCATGGGTGATCTATTTTACATCAGAACCTGATCAAAACTCAGACCTTTTTGGTCAAGGAAATTCACATCGTCAAAATTCGTTGAGCCAAGCTCAACAGAACTCAAACGAGTTCGACCTCTCCGGGTCAGCACACTCATGATCCATCAGGTCTTCACTGGTAGCAGGAGCAGAGTCTGGAAGGTCATACAACCAGCTTTCCAAGATGCCAGCAGCAGCCGTTCCAGCAACAGGAGGACCATTCTCCCAGTCCATTGGGAGTGTCACCTTCCAGTCCCAAGGTCAATCCATCCCTGTTCCGGGATACTCCAAAACCCATGCCATGGCGCTTGAGCTCCCACTCATGAAAGGCTTTAGCCACAGCAAACCAAAACGGCGATCACACAGGCAGATAAGTGGGGACACGTGTAGGGAGATAAGTGGGTAGACAACGTAGCAGCGATAAACCAAAGCCGCGATCACACAGGCAGACAAATGCGATCGACAAGCAGATATGTGGATAGAAAGGTAAGGAGACAAGCGCGGAAATTTCGCAGCAGCGGCGCAGCAGTAGCGAACCAAAATGGCCATGAGGCAGAGAAGTGTGGAGAGATGTACGGAGACAAGTGGGAAGACAAGGCAATAGCGGTATAGCAGCGGTAAACCAAAACGGCGATCGCGCAGGTAGATAGATTGGGAGATATCTAAGGAAATTCGGAGACGAATGGGAAGACAAGGCAATAGCGGCACAGCAACGGCAAATCAAAACACATACAAATATTAAATAGTTAAAATATAATATATATATATATTATTATTTTATATAATATGAATACAAATATATTATTTATTATCTATAGTATATTGTTTTTTTTATGCGTTGGTTTGGAATAAGGATAATTTTTAAAAAAATATATTTAATTATATTTGTTGGTTAGTTTTCGCCGGATTTTTTTTCTAGCGCTCGAATAAAAACGGCTTGAAACCGTCGGGATTTGTTTTTTCGTGGAGTTATGCGTTTTGCACTCCTCCTAGTTCTTTTGTGGAGCTGTATTTACTGGCCTTGTAGACTTAAGCCGCTTCGTTAGGCCTTGTAAACTTTGTATTGCTTGATTTTTAGCATGGCTCCGGTGACTCTTTTATAGCGTGGGTTCACATGGAAGTTCGCTAGCTGGTCTTTATACACAAAGGTTACTTTCGTCGAGATTTCGTTGTTTTTGGCATGCTCCACATATTGGTGGTCCTTGGCTTGCTCGTTGGCATGCTCCACATATTGAACTTCCTCGAATTCGACGGGCGTTTCTTAAGCAATCTTGTCTTCTATGGAAGCACTGACTTGACTCTGCGAACCGAATCTGCTATATTGGCTCGACAGCAAGCTAAACCGTCGTCGCCTCCTAGTTAGCGAGATTTGCAGCTGTTGCTTCTCTGGTAGATTAATTCGATTGGGTGGTTCCTCTTGTGGTTCTGGATCCCCCTGAGCAGCTGAAGCCCCCCGCGCCGATGGTCTTGCCAAGGACTCCATTGATGAGGATCCCCTTCTTGACGCGTTCGAAAACCCTTTTTGTTGCTGATCTTTAACTTCTACCCTTGTTATCCTTATCGAGGGTGTTAACGGAGGCGTTGTAGGTTCCTCTGAAGATGCCGTCGTCGGTGTTAATCTCATAGTTGGGGGTTATGAGTCTCTGCTACGAAGACACGCTCTTAGTTTCACCAGTAGTTTTACTAATGCTAACGAAGACTATCACCAGCGTAAACACGCCGAGATAGATGTCTCCGTCCACCACCTTATCTCCTTCTTTTTTTGTTTCATTGCCCTGCAGGGAGCCATGGACCGTTTGAAGAAGGCTCAAAACAACCACTAGTCGCGTGGCCTTTTCTAGATGGTATTTGGCCACTAATCGCATTGCTCGAGGTGCTATAATGCCTTGGTCTTCTTTATGGATTGCATCGACGGAGTCCGGTTGCTAACCCATTGGCCAACCCATTGACATTCGCTCTCTCATCTCCTTGATACGGGCTATGGGAAGAGCCTTGGTGCCGACATCCGCAATGAGGTCCTTGCTCGGCTGGTACTTTAAGTCCTATAGTCCAGCCTGGAGCTTCTATCTAAGATGAGCAGTCTTTACCTTCAAGTGTTTTGTCCTCCATGCCCCCGTTGCACTGCTCGCAATAGAGACTGCCGCTGTGTTATCACACTTGAGGTATTTGTGGACATCCTTAACCATTTCTTCCACCAGGCAAGCTATGCTGTTACTAACCACAACTGCCTCTATGACCTCAATGAGCTCGGCTTCGGCAGTGGACAACGCTGGAAACGGTTGCTTATAGCTCTTCCATGCCACCGGGGTGCCACCAAGTGTCGTGATGACACACCCATGGCTGTGTGCTCCTCCTGGCGCAAAGGATGCATCGCTCACCGATTCTCCAAGGCATTGAGGTGCCTGATCAGCTGGTAGGCAATCTGAATCGCCCAGGATGGCGCCCGACTTGTAGCTGAACAGATTCGGCTCACCACGTAGGCTATGTCTGGCCTCGTTTTGGTCGCTAGCCATAGCAACTCTCCCGCTAGCTGTTGAGCTTCTCGGATCAACGTGGCATGAGCGTTCAACTCATCCTCGGGTTCCTGAGAGTCTTTCATGATCTGGGCACTGCACAAGTCCTCCATGCCATGCCGTCGAACCACTTCCCGCAAGTAGGAACACTGGTTGGCAAAGTAATCCCCTTGTTCCGTTCTATTCAGCTCCATGCCGCAGTAGCGAACCGGCTCTTTTGCAGTCACCCAGGTTGGCTCTGAGGTCTCCCAGGTCTTCTGGAAGTATTGAATCCCCTTTTTGACCACCTCCTCAGATCCGAAGAGCATGATATCATCCACGTAGACCAAGGCCAGACCCTCGACCTTCGCCCCTTCTTGGCCATCCCGTCGCCTTACCAGCCACAGGTTCTCTTCAGCGAAGCTCTGCTGGTACTCGTAGGTCGTCTCCTCCACCATGAAGCTCATCTGACTGATCTCCACGTCACGGTAGTCGCCCCATAACTTAGGAGACTCCCTTAACCCATATAGGGCCTTCTCGACCAACCACATCTCACCTTCTTTGACCAGCCCCAAGCGAACCAGGAATTTTGGTGGAAGCATCAGGACCAACCGTTCCCGTCGTTCTGCAGGATGTGACCGACCTCCTTCCTCCTCCAGGGTTTCTCCCTCCTCCAGGGTTTCCATTTGACCCGATTGGTCGGTGCCAAGACACGGTTGTTGTCCTTCTTGGTGTCGACCATGAGCATCTTCTAGGGCCAGTGCCTTTCTTCGATTGCTTTCATCGAGGGTGCGAAGTGGAGCATTAAGAAAAGCAGTCTTGATATCCAGACTTGCAGCCCGCCATCCATTGGACGCTGCGACCGCCAGGGATGTCCTCAGGCATGTTGTGTCGGCTCCTCCTGCATAGAGTTGAGCAGCCTCGGATCGGTCTCCTGGTCCTCGCCCTGCACCCTTCAGGTAGTTTCCGCACACCACCAGACGGCATTTCCGGCGACCATCCGGTGCCTTGACTGCATGGATTGC